TCCCTTTCCCGGAGTGTGTTCGAGCCCTTCCTGCAGGGCATTAGAGACAACCACAACATGTAGGGGTTGCGAGTAAATGATATGTGACAGAGAAGCGACAGAGAAGAGAAGACAGAGAAGCCCACACCTCTATATACAACTGTACAAAAGCAATCACTTATCATAGTAATGAAAACAGCCTCCTCTCGGTATATTCCAAACTTTATCCCATACAAAATGGAAAATATATATAGATGGCAGAGGGGTATAGCTAATTATCTAATATAAGCGGAACTCACAAGATGTAGATAGTAAAATCGCTTTAAGGTTCCTCCCCTTAGGTATATGGGGGTATATCCAGAACTCCCTCTCAGCTGGTTGATGGTATCACCACAATATGGAAGTCGGGACTCAGGAAATGTATAATAAAAAATCTGCTTTATTTAATAGGTTTAAAAGATAAAAAACTAATTTGGTCCAACATGTTTCATTTAACAACAAAAGACTTCTTCAGGGACTCAATAATAACAAGTGGTATATATAAAAATATCCTAACAAAAGGACAAAATAGCAGCATAACCCTTCCCTCCCCAGTCCTTCCTTATATGCGACTGTCTTTTCTTCCTATGCAGAGTTATATGGCTACTTAACCTGCCCCAGAAAGTAGAGTGGACCAAACCTGGCTACTTAACCTGCCCCAGAAAGTAGAATGGACCAAACCTGCCCTACAAGACACTGATTACACCCTCACAAAGTAGATCCTACTTGTTACTATGGTAAACATGGGATGGAAACCCGAGGATGAGGATACCCACCATAGGCATGACACGGGTGGGTTGACAAACACAATTGATCTCCTACACTAAAGGGAGAGTAAAGGGTTTAACTGCTATTGATGTTACAACTAATGTTATTACCGCTATTAATGATACAGTAGATAATGTTCCTATTAATCTATGTTTGTACACTCCTTTTTAAGGGAGAGAGCCCAAACCAGAAAGTGCATCCAAATATGTCTCCCATGTGGCTCAGCAGTAAACAAATTGTTAAAGTTGACTTGAGTAGCCACTTTCTCACATTAAATGAGTATCTGATAAACACTGTACTGCTACTTTCACAATGCTGTTATGTCATACCAAAGTTTACCATGCTTTGTTTTCACACTGATATATATATGTACTTGACTATCCAAAATAAACATAAAAATTTTAATTAAAAAAATATATAAATTTCACTTTTCCCACACAAACACAAGCATCACTAAAGGTATACCAAAATATGTGTGCAGAGGCACTCTAGGCACCATAATAACTATAGCTTATTGTGGTGGTTGTGCTGCTAAAATCAGTACTATCGGTACTATCCTTTATTTTGTATATCTTTGTTTGAACCTTTGAGGAGTGGGTTGATAAAAAAAAGATTGTCTCTTCTTGACACTCATAGCCACCCCTCGCCAGTCACACTGATAATGTAGAAACTGCACTTCCCCATTATCAAATGGGAGTCTGTTCCACTTGGAATCTATTTGCTATTTTTATAACTCGTGATTGGTAAAAAAAAAAGAAAAAAGATCAGAGCAAGATAACCATGAAAACTGGAATATGGGTGTAAAAAAGCACTTTTTGTGAATAAATTTCAATAACCATATAATGACAGTGAAATTAACTATTTAATAATGGCTTTGTGTAGAGAAGAACATCACATTGCTCTTTCATGTGGTTTTGAAAAGAAAATAATGCATGTCAGAAAAATGAATACTAGGTCTTTGATTATAAAATAAAGAAATATGTTCAGTAAGATCCTGCAATTAACTATGGAGAAGCATCCAATTACCCTCATCTTCCTCCACAGTGGAAGACTCACCAGCTGGGAGGTTGACAAGTAGTCCTCATCCTTTCCTCCTTTCCTTAAACACTGGGGACTAGAGGGCCAATGATGCAATGTTCAAGCACCCTACCCTAATATTAGCCATAGCTGCCAAATTTCTCTGGTCCACCAAATTAGAACTATAGTGGCACAGAGGGCCCCTTCCCTTTTGCATCATTAAGTATATGACAATGTTCCCTTCACTCGTCCTATTTAATAAATTGTCATCATTCATCATATACATCACCAGGAAAGTCTCATAGGTTTGAGAGATGATTGAGAGTATTCTGTGATTAGTTAGCTAGTCTACTATTCACAGTCTGCTAAATTGTTTTGAAGCCAGCAGAAATGTATAAACATGTCTTGAAAACACAGCTGCAAAGGGATATGGTGTTTTTTTATTTTGGCTTTACTTGTATGGTTAAAAAATAAAACTGACTTTGACAGATAAGTATGAAATGTTTATTTTTACGTATATCAGAATATATACTATATATGCTACTATTGTGAAGGCCAAGTAGAATAACCTTTCAGAGATCCGCAACTAGGAGCTTGGGGAACCCTTGCTACAAGGATATTGGGGTAAGGACACCCTTCTATTGATTGAGAGCAAGGGATGGGCATGCTTAATCTTACAGTTATTAGAAACACAGGGTTCAAGCCTACCCTCTTACCGTAGTGCTAGTGTTAGTGTAGAGCAAGGGTGCGCAAAAGGTAGATCACCAGATGTATTAAAACTGCATCATCCATGATACTTTGTCACTCTAAAATCATTCTAAAAATGGGAATTGTAGTTCTACAACATCTGGGGATCTACTTTTAGGCATTTCTGGTGTTGAGTGTTTGTTTGTCTATATTAATATGTTTGAGCCTGTTCTTAAAGAAGTATTCATAAAGCAAGTAGAATTTTAAAATACTATGTCATTTTTTAAACATTTTTTTTTTTAGGATATCTTTTAAGATGAATTCAATCATTGCAGCCATTTCAGGTAAGAATGTTGGACACAGTGGTGCTTAATAACTTATATAAGGATAATTATCTCTCAAATGTAATTTATGATACCATTAATCATCAATCAATAAAATTAATAATTTTGAATTAATTAGTATACAACATTATCATTAGTGTATCAAAAATTGAAGGTAAAATATATTTTATATGCATATTGTAGAATGATACAAGCACAGTGATATAGTGTGACAGTGCTAAATAGAACTTTAAATTGTATTTCTATCACGTTAGCAAGCAGTTCATTCTTGTTGCTGACACAGTCAGCAATTTGCCAGCCTTCCAATTGTAAAAAATTAATAATATGTATTTTTGTGAACTGCATTTATTAAAATCAATCAAGGTTACCCACAGGGCACTTTTATTCTATACTGCTAAACTGTATTACTGTATTTCTATTCTATGTTGTCATTATTTCTAATAAAAGGAGTTCCTCATTAATAACAATTTTAGCTTATCAGTTGCGGAACATGCACAACCATGTTGTAGAATGTTTTATTTTTTCAGTAAACCGTTTTTTCTCCATCGTTCAATCAATTATATCACATGCAGAAAATTAATTTTAATAATGTGACTTTAAGCATTCTTTTGGAATAGCTCATCTCAAAACTTTGCAACTTTGACTCCTAAGAGAGTTCCTGTTTAAGGAATAACTTTGCAATAAAATTATAAATATGTCATATAAAATTTATTTCATGTATTGTAATTTTTACCAGCTGCACCTGCTATCGGAATGCATTATACTATTTTTTTTCATGACTGACATCCATCATGGCAATTACATATACAGTTTTATATTCTTCTTGCGTAAAAGCAGCAGAGTTAAGCATATAAAAATATGTGACAATTATTTTCTTTGGAATCATAGTTTAATTAATAAAGTTGGTTAGATCGCCAACATAGATCCTCTGTTGTTGGAGAACTGAAATTACCATCATACTTTGCCAGCTGTAAAGCAGAAACTCTATTATGGCAGCTGTAGTTCTACAGCAGCTGATGATGTGACGTGTACCACCCCTAATATAAATAGTTGATCATAATAAAGATTGTCTATTGGAGAGATCAGCCATTTATGTCTTGGTACTATATAAAATAATTCAACATATTTAGTGCCAGATGTATTTAATACCAGAAGTATTCATGTGTTATACTTTTTTAATAAAAAGTAAATGCAATTTTGCTATGCTTTAATGTAGGTTTCTGTAGGTTTCTTATTAAAATACCATACAAAAATGGTGCATCCTTCAGAAATGTCTTTAAGCAAAATTCATGAGATGTATAGATATATCTATAAATAAATTATGTCACAACTAAAAATCTAATCAAATATAAACCAGTTAGGTATTGCAAAACAGGCTTTGAGACTAAAGTATATTCTTGCATAGAAGTTTTTGGCTCTCCTGTGTTAGTCTTTGAAATCGGTAACCGCAGTCTGTGGATGCCATGTTCAAAAATGGTTTCACCTCTTACAATGGGAAACGGGTTTCCAGGGAACTCCTGGCACCATAACCACTATAGCAAACTGTAGTTGTTATGAAGTTTGGAGTGTTCATATTGTATACAGAGGAAACTTTGAAACTATTAAACTGGTGAAATGATTTTATCATGCCTACATGATTTTAATCTGGTGGGATTATATTTCTGTGATGGTGTCTGCTTGTTTAATGTAGCACCTTTAATAATACCGATATTTTATTACAAAACAAAATAAAATACTGTAACGAACGCTAGTATTGCAGGTACCCGTTAGCCTATATTCTCCCGTACTGCTACAGAGTGATTATACCTCTCAGTTCGGGTGTTGATTTGAACGTTTCTCCAGCTGAAGTACAGCATCCAAGTATATTCTCCCAGCAAAGTAGACAGGTACCCAAACATCAGCCTAAACTAGATGAAGGGTATAACAGGAATGCTTTATTCAGTCTAACCGCCTGGTTTACATGCAGTGAACAATTCACAGGGTTTAAGTTGACATATTCCAGGGGCATTCCCACTGGACCTGAGAGGGGACAGTGACAAAATACATTCTGAAAATACATTGGCTTTCAGGTCCAGGACACTCCTACATACAATAATATAATCTTTCCCCTTTACTGGGGAGATAATTGAGTCAAGCACAATACTAAAATCAATTATCTCCCAACACAAAAAACATAAATTTCCATAAAACTTAGAAAGTACTCCAAACTCAATGGGAACCACATACAAGTCATATCCCCTGATAGCCCTGATCTGGGGGATCGACATATTCAAAAATCGCCCAGATCGGTTCAGGGGTTCAAGAGTTACATTTGACCGGGCTGTGCGGTCGGTCTGTTTCGAAAATGTAAAAAAAACAAATAAATCCATGAACGGTTCCCCTGGCTCATAGGTAGCGTTTGTTCTCCTAGTTCGTGGGAACAAATCTACCGAATAGCACTCTCCTGGCTGGTCTGTGAAAGGAAGCAGGTGTTCGTGGAGTTTGACCATCGTTCGGGAACTCGAGTGTCTGATTTTCTTTCCAGACACTCGACGACCAAGTACCACTGCCTCCTTTCATGTGAACAAGATGGCAACCGTTTTCTCTTGCACGTGGCATTCGACTATACAAACGGCAGCCACACAGAGAGAGAACTAAATTGGTGGTTTGCTTTGAAGTGAATAATCCAGGGGGTGGTTGGTGTTCTGGTAAAAAAAAAGTACCAAAACAAACACATACACACACACACAGTCTTCACAAATACTATCCTGCTCTTCCCTATTATTCAGCTTAACCCCTTAGTGACCAGGCCGTTTTTCAATTGTCTTAGCGTTAAGGACCAGGGCTCTTTTTACATTTCTGCAGTGTTTGTATTTAGCTGTAATTTTCCTTTTACTCATTTACTGTACCCACACATATCATATACCGTTTTTCTCGCCACTAAATGGTCTTTCTAAAGATACCATTATTTCCATCATATCATATAATTTACTAGAAAAAAAAGCAAAATATGATGAACAAATGTAAAAAAAAAAACTTTTTTGAACATTAGGCATGGATTCTCAGCTCCTGTTATTGGTTACTGCCAAAGAACACCCCAATAATAATAAAAGTAGGATGTCATCACAAACTCTCTGCTGAGCACACATTGCGGACTACATATCCCATCACCTACTAGCAGTCGGAAACAGGAAGAACAGCACCACACCGGATAGGAATCCAATTATTAAGATTTCTTATAAAAGTTTGGCGGAATACTAAGCTCATCTACACTTTTGATAAAGCCCAAACCCGGGCGAAATGCGTCAAGTGAAGGACTGGAAGCTGTATTTTATTTTATTTTGTCTTTTAGCAATAAAATTAAGCTTTTTTACCCAATCCTCTTCTGGTTTCCACATTTCTGCTGGTGCTGCTGGATTCCTGTTATACCCGTATATCCTTTGGTGGGGATTATACCACCACAACTCATTGCTTTGGATACCATAAGTAGGATATTTACATTTTAATACTCCAATTGTGGCTTTTTATTGTATCATTGGATCTTGTATTTTGTCTTTTTTCCTATATATGGTTGCTGAGTCTGGATATTCCACACTACCAACATTTACACATCCCAAGACGGGGATTATACCGCCCAGGCGTGATACAGAAGAGCTCTTAGCAGCTCTGCAAAGTGTGAGTTCTCCTTTTATCTAGAATTATATGTATATTTGCACTTATTAACTATAGCATATTACACTATTATTCTACTGTTTTTTGTTTCCCTTGAGGATTTTACCATTGAACAAGATTTATATGTAGTGGTGGATCCTGGTTTTGTGCTGCCCTAGGCAGGACAAAACTCAGACACCCCCCTCCCCCGCGCCATCCCCACCCAACCCTTCCCCCCCACCCCACCTTCTAAATACACACACACACACACAAACAGTCAGACACACACACACAGTCAGACACATACACAGTCAGACACAAACACACACAGTCAGACACACACACAGTCAGACACAAACACACACACAGTCAGACACACACACAAACACACACACACACAGTCAGACACAAACACACACACACAGTCAGACACAAACACATACACACACACACAGTCAGACACAAACACACAGACACAAACACACACAGTCAGACACAAACACACACACACAGTCAGACACACACACACAGTCAGACACACACACACAGTCAGACACAAACACACACACACTCAGACACAAACACACAGACACAAACACACACAGTCACATACACAGTCAGACACACACACACAGTCAGACACACACACAGTCAGACACACACACACACAATCACTTACATTAACACTTTTTTTTTTAAATTTAACCCCACCCCAGCCTCCTTACCTTTGGGAGTGCTGGGGGGGGGGTCCTCTTTCTCCCTGGCGGTCCAGTGGCTGCTGGGGTCGATTACGTCATATTCCGGCTCCCAGCCTCACTCTGCGGTGCGCGAGGGAGCTGAGCAGACCGCTCAGGGGAAGAGCTCCCTCGCCAGCCGCCCGCCCGACCATCAGCCAGCGCCGTCCAGCATGTCAGTTAGCCGCAAGGCTAACTAGGCATTTGCCCTGGGCATTTGGGGGTGGCGTTTTTTGCTGCCCCCTGAAAAATGCCGCCCAAGGCAAATGCCTTGTTTGCCTCGCGGCTAATACGTCTCTGTTTATATGTATGTATAACATATTTATTTTGCACTTTTGAGCACTCTTTGGCACGGTTCACCACCTTTCTTATTCTACATTTTACCCCTATATGTGTTCAGCAACATCTCCTGAGTACAGTGATACCACCTATGCATAGGTTTGTTGGGTTGTTTGGGGGGTGTGAAGCCAAATGTCTGACACCTGTTTTTCTAATTTTACAAATCTTCTTTGCCTATCTTCTTTTTGGGGGCCTTTTCAGATATCCCAATTTATTTTCTTGCCATGAGCGTGCATATATTTGAAAAGCTGACACCCCACTGTATTGTATATGGAGTGTTTTGATGCCTTTGATGCAATCATTTTAGTCAAAAAAAAAAAGTGTATGGTGGTAAATTTTTCAATTTTCTTTTTTACACACACATTGCTTATTGACTGTGATTTAGGAGAGCCTGTTGTTGGTTATTGCAAGAAAACACTCCAGGTTGTTTTCTGCAAGGCCTCCTTAGTACACCCATGCCCCCCATGCATAGGTTTGCCAGGATTTTGGGAAGGTCCAGTTACAATTGTATGACTTGTAATTTGAGTTGAAATTGAAAGCATTTCTTTAGCTTGGGGCTTATCACATACCCCAGTTCTAATTATTGCCATGAAAGTGTATATCTTTCAAACGTAGATAACCCGAGGTATTGTATATGGAGTGCTTTGATGCAACTGTTTTAGCCCAAAAAAACTGGAGAAAGTGCGTGGTGGTAATTGTTCAATTGTCATTTTTACACATACATTGCTTTTTGACTGTGTTGTGGGTTTTAAAACCCCTTCCAAACTACCAAACGACCGGGCGTTCAGTAGAAAGACTTACCAACAGATGGGGAATCAAGCGAACCAAGGATGGTAGCTGGATGGCCGGCCGTTCGGGAGGTTTTTCGTGCAATCTAAGACCGACTGCAGGGCCAGAATTCATGGAACTGTTTTCGGCTACTTTGCCCGTGCAGTCGGTCAAAACTTCTAAGTCCTATATCTCCCGAACGGCTGAACCGAATGGACTGAGTTTTTAATATGTTGGTCTCCCAGACAATAGCTATCTGGGGACAAGTCCTTGGGGTACATCCAAACTTTGGGGAATTTCTGTGACGTTTTAATTGTGTTTAATGGTTATCTGAGGGGAGGAGATGTACAGTATGTATATTGTTAGGATTGGATGTATGGCTAATTATATGGGAGGCTCCCTTGCATGGGCTGAATTCCATAAAAAGAGCATGCCTGTCATTAAACCTTCAGTTCATCTTTGTACCCTTATTCTGACTACGTATGCTGTTTGGGAGTTCGTGTGTTTTACTGTGGGAATTATCCAGGAACACTATTGGATTTACAATTGCGAATTCGTCTACTATAACTACCGAACGGAGGGCTATATTCACTGGGCTCTGGCTGTTCGGGAGGAAACTAACGATTAAGGTTTAAATGTACTTGGTTTCCTTACAACTGGTGGCAAGCGGCGGGATTCGAATCCCGAACTGACGTTTTAAAGCAAGCAAAGGAATGAATGGCGCAGCAGTACCAACAGCTTAAAAGAACCACGCTTAAGGATTTGCTGGAAGCTCGAGGCGTAATAGCAAGCAACAAAACAAAAGCCACGTTAATTGCAGAGCTGTTACAGGGCGACAGAACCAGCACTACAGAAATGGAACCTGAGGAAGAAACGGTGATGCAGAAGGACATCAGATGGATGCTCAGTTTATTGGGACCTAATCCAGCAACAGAGGCGATGCTGCAGGTCATGGCACAAGCCAGGCAAGCACAGAAGGAGTGAGATGACAGACTACTACAGGGGGATTTGCTACACTCCCCGGGAAGTACAAATGACATGCCGAAAAAGGTAAATTATGCTGCATTTAAAAACTTTAATGACAATGAAATGGAGATTGATAGTTATCTGCAAGACTTTGAAAGGCAATGTGCACTGGAGGGATTAGACTCCACCAAACGGGCTGCAGTACTGAGCAGCAAGTTGTCAGGCAGAGCATCAGAAGCAGCACGAGCAGTACCTGATGAAGATATTCATAATTATGAAAAGATAAAATACATTTTGTTGGCTAGATATGCGGTTACCCCTGAGGCATACAGAAAGAAATTCAGGGAACTGAGGAAAACAGGGAGGGATACCCATACTGAATGGGCATTCTGGCTACACAGGGCAGCCCGAAATTGGATGAAGGGCTGCCAAGCAACCACTCTGGAGGATGCGTTACAACTTCTCCTATTAGAACAATTTTTTAACCATACCACAGAGGATATTAAGGACTGGGTTAAAGACAGGAAGCCTAAAACTGTGGAGGAAGCAGCAAGACTGGCAGATGAATACCAGGATAACAGGAGGCAAGAACAAGGGGTGAGCCGACCTGCGTTTAAACAGCCTTATTCAGCCCCAACCACGGCTGCACCACCTAGTGCTCCCCTGAGTAATTCACCCCACAACCCAGCCGCAGCACCCCGACAACCTGCAGTGTGTCACTACTGCAAACAACCAGGACACTTTAAAAATCAGTGCCCACATTTAAACCGGGGAAGCTGGGAAAGGCAACCTCCACAGTCACAACCCAGGGCCGCTGCTCATTGTGTACAGCAGGAGAGTACATCATGGGTACCTCCCCACGAGGAACAATGGAGTGTGTTGCACGAAGTCAACCCTGTGCAAGCCGGGGGTGACAACCGGGACCACCACCGTCAATGGAT